ATTACAGCACGTGTGTCTTTTTTAATAACAATATCTTTACTTGATTTCATTGTGAAGCGTCATGTTTTTAGAGAGACACGGTGTTGGGTGTACTCTATTGAATGGCAAAAACGAGGATTGCCTCAGGCACACATTCTAATTTGGCTTATTGAAAAAAAACCACCTTCTAAAACTGATCAGATATCAGCAGAAATTCTTGATGTCACCATAGATCCAGTCTTATTTCAGATCATTGTCCAAAATATGTTTCATGCTCCGTGTGCATCACCATACATGTCTGTTTGAAAATGCACTAATGATATCCTAGAGAATTAACTGCTTTTTTTCACCATTAAATAAAATTTGCATTTCAAATCATAATCGCAAATGTCATTTACACACTTAAATACAAAATTCAAATTCAAATTGAAAGCGTTGCAACGCACGCAGGGTACAGCTAGTATATATATAATACTAAACATCTTCAGTTTCAATAGTGTAACAAATAAAGACCTTTTAACGAAAAATAATATCCCATCTGTTCATGAAGAAATTTTATAGCGAAGATGGAGATGGCTCGGCCATATACTTGGAACACATAGAAACAATCTTGCAAATGTTGCAAGCTCATGGGCGCCAGACGGAAAGAGAAAAAAGAGGGAGACCAAGACTAACACGGCAAAGATGCATTAAGGAAGATCTAGGTAGAGCAGGATTAACTGAATGGGAAGAAGCGCATTGCCTAGCCAAAGACAGGAGTGTGTGGAGAAAAAGCAGGGGTCTATCCAGACATTTTGCGAAAGGTTCGTTTTTATAAAATTGTGAAAAAATTACTCGAAATTTGTGAATGTAAAATAAACGTTAAGTCACATGCTTTCAACCAGGGTCCTGCTTTTGTGAATTTGTGCAAGTAGGATCCTGTTATTGCAAAAAACTTTTTCAATGAGTTTTTAATTTGTAAAGAGATACAAGATTATGCTCAACACTGTAAAATTGTAATTAAAAAAATTTAATTCCAAAAAATAAACAGCAATTGCTGCTACTAAATTAGAGATGTAACTTACAAATATTTGGTATCTGAACGCAGAATATTCATTTCGGACGAATAAAGGAAGAATCGTCTGCTGAAGACAGAACTTACATCTGTCTTTCTTTCACCCGACACCCCTGGGAAGGGGAGTGGGGTGAAAGAAACAATAATGAAGATAAACAAATTTATGAAGGGTCCGATTAAAAGATAAAAACGAATCCATCACAAAATAATTTAAGTAAAAATATTTTGTGAAGGGTCCGTTTTTATGAAAAGATATTTTGTGAAGGGTAACGTACCCAAATTTTTTCTAAACAAAAAAGACTCGAGGCCTTATGTGCCAGTTAGGCACGAAGAGGATAAATATGTAAGTAAGAATGATTGGATCATTACGTTCTAGGACTCAATCTTAATGTTTCGAGGAGGTGATATGCTTATTAATTAGTGTATGCTTATTAATTAGTGCATACGATATTTTAAGTTACGAAATCAGACACAAAAACATACTTTATCTGGATAAACATACCTTTCTTTCGACGAATTCGGATTTCTGAGCTCCAAAATATAGGGGGACAATCTGGGAAATTAGAGTCCCTATAGTTTGTCAGGAAATCGATCCAAAGTTTGGACCCCTTAATGATAATTTTACCTTTTTGCGTAATTCGTCATATATCGAGAACTTTTTAAGCAGATTGAAAAAAATTTGCACGCAATTATAAAATTCGTTTATCCAAAGATAATTCCACGTAAACTGAGAGTAGTAAAAACAACAGGGTCGAATTATAGCATTGGCTTGGTCGATTACTGATCTCGGCTTCCCCCGGCTACAGTGTATAAAAATATCCAAGAAAAATACATCGGAAGTAAAGTTCTTATCATCAAGCTAACCGTGGAAGGTCTAAGAGGAAAGTAAAGCGAGTTTACCTCAATGTTTGATCCAAGAAATCCTTTGTTTTCTGTTAGGTTTTAAACTAACTATTTAAATACTTCACAGATGTAAAATAGCTATATCGGCAGTTAAATGGCAACAATTAATTCAAAATAAAATCGCCGTTTAAAAATTTAACCTATAGTAACAAAACACCTTTTAATATTAATTAGGATACATTTTGAAGGACAGATTAAATAGTCACCCGCTTGCTTGTTTTCGGAATTCTGAAGTAAAGAGAGAAGAAAAAAATCCTCTTAGAAGCACTACTCTCATTTTTGACGATTCAGCAAACTTTGAATTGTATAATTTGTTATTTCTGAGAATTATGTTCGACAAATCGAGAACTTCTAAATATTTGACGAAACTGTTTCCTCACTGAAGTTATCTGATCTCTTATATTCTACTTATATATTTTTTATTTAATAACTGTCGTTGAGCAGGTGACCCAATTCCGGGATTACGACTACCAATGTTCAACTCCGTATCCTTGTAATTTTGATCCCAAACCAAAAGACAAGAAAGGTCCTGGATCAGTACCCCAAGAGGTATTGATTTGTTATGGGAACATGGAGGACTTTGGGACCCGACAGATTTAACGCACATCAGTCTCCATTTAGTACACGGGGGGGGGGAGTTTTCGGCAGGCGGGGATCGAACTCACGATCTCTTCGACGTGGGCCCAGTGTCCTACCAACCAGACTATCCTGGCATAATTTACTTTTATAGTAAATATACGGAAAAAATGTTCTATATCTAGATTAATGTGATTTGAAGGGCAATAACAGTTTCCTTTTCATCCATTATAACGTCACGACCAGTTCTCAAACATTTTTTTTTAACGATTTACGATTTGTAAAATCGTAGGCACTGTATAAAGGGGTGGCAGTGTTCTCACGTGAGCAACACATATAACGGGTTCGATTCTTGGTACTAACCGAGAACTCAATTAACACACACTACTTTTCTTTTATGTTATTTTGTCTAAGCAACCTGGTTAATTAATATGTAGCATTGAGTTAAGCAAAATGCTTTTCACGAAATTTATGATGTGCTCAAACAAGTGAAGATAGCAATTTCCTAAATTTAAGTAAAATTTCAAAGGAATCGACAAAATTTAATAAAATCTGATTTCCCAATTCTAATAGCGAACATTTTACCTATTTTTAAATTTTAATTTTCAACTCCGGTGTCCTATTCAAATCGCATGAGCTGTAGCATCGATTCTAGGGTTAAAAGAATCTTACCTGGTAAATCAGGACATAAGTTGTTGACACCACCACGAGCTGGAACTAGGTAAGCCACTGAACCTGATATGTTTTGTGTTATTGTTAACTCGGGCATGAATAATTTGCCCACATCACCGGATAGCCATTGTAAGGAATGGTTTTTGAGCTTAGCCATTTCTTCAATCGATGCTTTCTCGTAGGTTAGGAATTCCCATTCGTCCGATAATAAACTAAATGTTAAAAAAAGCGTCGAAACACCACTCAAAATGACTGTAAGGCAGACAAATATACACGTAAAAATAACCATTGTGCCATTTGGAAAGATTTGTTCATATTTATGTTAATTTATGCTATTAAATTAAAAATATATAATTTTTTTGTTGTTGCAATTCTGATTGAATTTTGGCGTTTTATTTGTCAGTAGGATGGAACAATTTATTTATGTTTAAAATGTATTTACAATAATGAGTTCTAAAAATTTCAGTTTTCTTGCAAATTTTGTAAGATTTTTCAGGTCGATTTGCTGAAATGTTCGAATGATTTCTTTAAATTTTAAATTATTTTATAATTATGAGTTAAAAATAGAAGATGCTTAATAAAGTTAAATGAATTTTAGGTGTCATGTGCTAAGAATTTTATACATTATAACATTTAAAATTAATAAAGTTCTTTATTAATTTAAAATTAATAAAATATAACAAGTAAATAGTTCGAAAAATGCGAGTTTAATGAAGAGATTTATTGAATTTCGACATAAAGCTTAAGAGTTAAATGAAAAAAAAATTGAAAGATTGTTATTAAATTTTGAATTTCCCTTAAAACATTTTATAGCATATTTAAACTGTGCCATTGCTTTTAGTAACTTTGGAACATTAAAAATTTAAAAACTGAAATTTTGAATTGAATATGTATTTTTAAAATTAAGTGCGATTTCTGATAAATTTCTAGACTCATTATACTATTCGACGCTTTTTTAACAATTATAAATCAAACGAATTTCACTGTTGAAAATCAGCGGGATTCTGCTCCACAATCTAAAAAAGAAAGTGACAAATGAACATAATTAATGTACATACAGTGCGCAAAATAAAAAACGGACCACCCTAAATAATTTTTGATCGATTAATTGGATCTTCACGTTCTAGGATTCAATCCTAGTGGTTTGAGGGGGTAATCTCAAATATGCTAATTAATTAGAATATTTGAGATCGTTTAAGTTACAAACGATAGTTTAAGTTGCAGACGATAGTTTAAGTTACAAAATCAGCCAGAAGACCAAACTTTCTCTGAATAAACATACTTTTTTCTCGATAAATTCGAATTTCTGACTCTCAAAATATAGGGGGTAGCCGCTACCTGGGAATCATGGACCCAATAGTTTGGTCAGAAGAGAGACCCAAAGTTTGGGCCCCTCAATGTTAATTTTTCTTTTTGCTAATTTCGCCATATCTCGAGAAATTTTTGCATACAATTAAAAAATTCGTTTATCAAAAGATAATTCCATGCAAAAACTAACATTTAGTAAATATTTATTATTTAATTTAATTACAGTAAAAGAAAAATTTAAATTGTAAAGTATACAGTTTTTTACATCACTTTAAAAATACAAAATTTGAGTGAAATCGGTCGAATAGTTATTGAAAAATCAATTTTTAAAAATACGACTTTCTTTAAAATTCAATTTCTCAGAAACTATTCTACCGCCTTCACTCAAAATTTGCATTTTCGGACGAAAAAATTATATTCTTTAAAAAGATACAAAAAATTGTGTAACTTGCAATTCAAAAATAATAAATATTTACAAAAAGTTCCTTTTTGCATGAATTTATCTTTGGATAAACAAATTTTATAATCGTGTGCAAAAATTTTTCGAACTACTTAAAAAATTCTCGAATATCACTCTCCTGACCTAACTATTGGGACCATATATCCCAGATTGCGGCCACCCCCGTATATTTTAGAGCTCAGAGATCCGAATCCATCGGAAAAAAGGTATGTTTATTCAGAGAAATTCACCATAGCGGGCCAAACTTTCTTCCTTAAATGTTTTGCTAGTAAGCCCACTTTTTTTGGAAAGTGAGTTTTTTAAATTTATATTTTTCACTTCAACGCCAAAACAATTGTCAATAATTTTTATCTCAACAAAACTTCCAAGCCAATGAAGCCATATTAACTCAAGAATTCAACTTTAAACCGTTCACTGCACACAAATTGATTCCCCAATCTTTTTAAAATATCTTTAAATGTCAAACCACCTTGTTCAATCCTAGTTTCTGGTATTTTTAATAAATTTAAAAAAGTAATATAAAAGAGATTAAAACCACTAAACGAGAACACTTTTCTACATAAAAATTTATATTATAAAAGCAATTTTAAAAATAATGTACTTTTATTTAATCGCGCTTTCCACTTTTCATTTTATGGAGTTTATCAACTTACACATTGAATGACTCATATAATTTAGCAAAATTAACTTGATATTTAAGGTATCCGACTACCTTAAAAAGAGGATTTTCACAAAAAATCACTTTTTTATTTTATTGCTTTATAATAATGCCCAATTTTTCTAGTTTTAAAAACTGTTTTGTTTTTGAATGCACGTCAAGCAGAACTTTAGTTATAGCTATTTTAGTAACAGATGACAGCTGGTCAACTTACCGGAAATTACAAAAANTTGTCCCGAAGGTAGTCGGATACCTTAAATTTAACTGCATTCAAAGCAAGGTCAAAAAATGTAACGTTTTACTCTTTATGAATACAATAGTGCTCGATAAACCTGTTAAATACTTCTGAATTTATTAACAAACTCACTATTTTTATTAATCAAATTATCTCTTTAAGAGTTCGAATTTCAATAAATGATATTTTGTCAAAGGAATTTTGCATTTTTATGACATATAAGCGGGATGTAGAAATTTAAATCACAATTAAAATAAATTTACATCATTTATGAAAAATTACATGTTTTAATAAAACGATTTTGTGTAGATTAAAATAGTTATAGAATTTTCTTAATTCAAATTTTAAGATATTATTTATAGAAAAAAAACTGCTTTTATATATTTTATTTAGGAAGCTTATTAGTAGAATATTCCATTGAAATTGAAACTTTTTATAAATTGTAGAGAGTTAAAAGCAGAAATTGAAAATACCTCTTTTTTTTAAAATAACATTTAATACCATAATTGGCATGCTGTTCTGAACACTTTTTTTAAAGTAATTTTTACATCAGAAAAAAACTAAATAAACATAAGAAATGTTTCATTCTTAAACGAAGAAGTTGCATTCATTGGTAATTTATAGATGCTGCAAATATACAACAAAACATGTGACAAATAATTAAACATATAAATTTTACGTTTCAAGTAAATCTTCACTTGTAATCTCGTTTAAAAATAATCAATTCAATACAACAAACTTAAAATTAAGATTTCAATTTTTTATAAAAAAATTCCGGTAAAACCAGTTTTCTTTTTTACAATCCTGGTTTTATTAAAACTCTATTTTTGAGTCGGTAGGTTAGATTTCTTACAGTTCTAATGTAACGATCTTATTAAAATTCCGCACAATTCTTCTAGCTAGAGAGAATTGATTAAATACTGAGCTATTTTTTTTTCTTTGAGTGCAACCTACTATTACTGCTCTTACTACGAGATTTCGTGCTTAGTTAAATGTTTGTAATATTATTATTTTTGCAATAAATGTTTTACGACAATAGTTTATCTTTTAAACAGCTTCATAGCCTAATCATTATAGAAGTTGTCTAATTGAGTAATCCCTGTCTTAGCAAATAGTCGCCGTCATATTGCAATGCACCAGGCTAATCGGAAAGGCCCCAGCATTTTCTACATAGCTTGAAACTTTTTAGGGTATTTAAAATTAGCTCACTTCACTTTAGGCTTATTAGAAAATTTATCATTCTTTTCTTAATTAGCGCAATTCATTTTAGATAGTTTACAATAAGCTCAGAAATTGCTTATTTTATATAATCTTGAAGGTTTAATGCTATAAGTCTAAGCAAATTCAGTCTGAGTAATTCTTCTCATTATTTCCAAATTAGCCTAAAGGAATATTGGCTAAATGTAGTAAGCCTAAAAGTATCAGACACATAAGAAAATACTTGAGAATTTTTTTTCCATGGGGCATTGTAAAAAGGCGGCAGGGGCATTTTTAAAGCTCTGAATTTTCCAACTAGTCTATGACATAGATAAGTGCGGGATCGACATGGCCAGAGCTTAGACATTTAAGTCATATTTTGAGCTTAGTTCACCAGAGTTAGGTATACAAACTTACAAAACAGATATTCAGATAGTACGAACGGAATACTTATAAAATACATACGGAGTACTCATTTTGAAATTATGACAAGTCACAAAAAGTGATTTTCAAAATTAATAATAAAAAATAAAAAACGGCACATTTTATAAATAAATAATAGTGAAACTTGAACTGCGTTTTTACTGCAAATTTAATTTTACAACTTCACGTAAATATTAATTTGCAGTTAAATTATAAAAACATGTTATAAAATCATGGTTTTGTTTTGAAATAATATTTCAAAAACCTCTCAATTAAGGAAATTTTGCTACCACTCATTTATTCTCATATTATTCCACAGGTTTGATCCCGTAGTGGACATGATTGTAAAGACACGGTTCCCAGTAGCACACCGAAGTCAAGCATTACTAGTTGCGGTCAATAAGCGGGTGGATGACCATTTTGATCAGCCTGCGTAGGGACCAAGGATGTGTGGCATCGGTCCTTGTTAAACTGTTCTACCGTAAAGTGCTCGACTTCACGCGTAGGTCGGCGGGCTACCAAAGCAGGGGAGTCATCCCCTCTGCAGAGGATCAAAATTGTGATGGTATGTCTTCGGATCATCCTCAGAGATGTTTCCCAGACCGTCGCCAATATCCCATTGTGCAGCTTTAGTCTCACGTAAATAAAGTACCCACCTATCTACCAAATGTTTGAGAAATTCATTTTAAAATACTTATAAAGCTAGGAAAGTTTTCATTAACGTTCACTTAAAATACCAATCTGAAAGTATTTACGTTTAGATACACTGGCTTTCTATCACCACCATTAATTTAGATTTTGAAAATCTTAAACCAAAAAGTTCACTTATTAGGAAGAAAAAACTAAACCGTTATCAAAATCTGTCGAATCGCAATTAAGGAAAACGGCATTAAAAGCATTAAATCGCTATATGAAACGTGAGGTGGTTAAGAAAAATAATTTTTCCCTATCTGTTTTCACCGGCATTATCCTAAATACCGATCACTCGCAAAAGTACCGATAAGTGGCCCAAAAAAAGACAATCTCAATAAAATTTAAATTTTTTAATATAACGAAATATTAATATTCAACGCTTATAAGCAAAAAATGAAAAGATAAATTTAATTCAAAGATAAATATTAAAACTTAGAAAACTATTTCTTAAAATCTGTAATTTATGAATTATGAATTTATGTTTATGAATTCGCCTGCCCCAAATTTTTCTCTCTCCTTTTTTTCCGCTTTGAAATACAATTTTTAATAGGATAAGAACAAGAAAAGTAGTTAGTGGTAGTAGTTAGTAGGAGTTATATATAGGAAAAAGTAGTTAGTTATAACAACTTATTATTTCTTTTCATCATAACCACATTCTATTCTTCAAAAACCAATTATATTATTATTTTATTATGTTGCAAATACCACTTTACCAGACTTGATGCTATATTACAAAAAAAAACTTCTTTAGTCTTTTTTTTTAATTTTCTTTAATGGATATCAACTTATCCACATGGTTTAGGTTTTTCAAACACCTGTCATTTTATAGATACTGGCACGTTACAATTAATTATGACGTTAGTTATTATTTATCTAGATTCCCCAGTTTAAGACATACGTATAAAATTGAATAAGTAAAAAAACCGAAAAGGCGTTTGAGTGAAAAAATATTAGCCACCAGCTCCTAAATCACAGATAACACTGTCTTGCTCGGTTACAGCGTGTTAACTAATAAATTAGTATTAAAACTAAACACTCAAGTGGAAACTTCATCGGTTTTTTTCGTTCCTGTTCATTAAATTTATTGCTTATTCTTAAGTTTCATGAGAATAAAATAACTAGCATTTTTATATAAAACTGACTAATTACAATTTAATAAATTTGATATCTGTCACTTTATTAGTTACAAAATATTGCACTCTTATTAAACTGTAAAAAACTAAATTTAGAACGAGACTTTAATATTAATTTATTTATTTGCAATTAATAGAACAAAAAAAAATTTTAGATTGTTTGTTGAAAATTTGAAAACAAATTTCACATGTTTCTTTCTTTTTTTTAAAAAAAAAAGATAAAAAAAAANAAAAAAAAAAAAAAAAAAAAAAAAAAAAAAGCATATCGTTTGCATTCTGAACATTCATAGAATAAATTATTCTAAGAACTTTCATACATATCATGTACTCCAAATTCAAAAATATAAACAAATTTAAGGATAAAATACATACTTAAATTTGATTTTAAAATAATAAACAAAAATCTCGGAAAACTTTTCGTATAATTATTTTAAATTAATAAATTGTACTAAGAGAATATTTAAATGCATTACCTCGTCAAGACTATCGTTTGCAGTTGTCTGAAAAAATAGTAGAAATGCACGTTTTCCAAACAGAGAAGAACTCTAAGCTCCGCTGTCAGGTAGATGTATTTAACTGAGAAGCTGCTTTCCCACAATGCACCTCTCTCGTAACGACTTATTTAAGCTTCAGAACTTTTCTCGTTCCATTGTTCCTCGGACCACAAGCACATGCCTTCGCACTTATTTGTGTTCTGGACATTAATAGCCATGTACGCAAATTGCTTTTCGAACTCCCTTAATAGATTAAGAGGATAAAAGTGGCAAAAGAATCAAAAATCGCAAGGGAATTGTACTAAATCGGGGAAGAAGTTTTTAAATTACTCTTCTCGAAACTTTTCATACGTGTATTAAATTACTTTTTGGTTTGTTTTAAGCAATAACAATTCAGTTAATGCACGTAGAAACTATTTACGAGCTTAGAAAAAAGTGTGGTTAAATATACAATCGATATCTTCGTTCTATAACCGCGTGAGTCGTCGAAGTAACAAAGGATGTTACGTTTTTAAATAATTTACTAATGAGTCAGAAAGTAACATGCATGGATAGTGGCTGAGAAATTAACTTTTGTCTGTTATGTATTGAATGTTAATTGGATACTATTTTTATATGTCTTGCCTACACAAAGAAAACTAATTTGGTGATAGTAGAGCACGTAGGGCCAATTTAGAAAAGTTCTTACAAACTAATAAATTTTTTTAGGTTTCAATCGTTCGATTAACTATATTACACAATAGATTTTAACTAACAGCATAAGATTAAGATAATTTTATTGATTTGTCCGTTTTTACTTCTATTTTAAATATTTTTGATCGTTTTAATGAAGCACTGAATTTTTTATTTTCCGTTGTCAACGAACTGCAAAAAGAGCGCAAACTTTCATAAACATTTGTAAACTTTTATTTTTTTCGTTGAAGAGTTAGGACTCTGCAGGGAAAACATTCCAGGACTTAAAGACTAGAATTTTCCAATTAAAGAAAACAATAGCGCTTAAAGAGTAAATATGAAATGCATCAAAATCAATTTTATAATGGAGTTAATTTTTTTGTGTGCTTAATTTAATTATTTTATAGAAGAAGAAGAATGGAAACCATCCCTAAATTGTTTGAAATAGATTCTTTTAAATTTGTATCTGTAAAATTTTTTACTTATCTAGGATCAGAAATAAACTATCAAAATGACATTAATCCTGAAATCAGAAAAAGAATAATCGCTGCCAATCGCTGATTCTATGGTTTAAGATCATTATTAAAATCTCACTTAATAAAAAGAAAGACGAAGATGTTACTTTATAAGATATTAATCAAGTCAGTTTTGACTTATGCTTCAGAGACATGGACTGCAACAAAAAGGGAAGAGAAGTTATTAGCAACCTTCGAAAGGAACGTCCTACGAACCATCTTTGGCGCTATCCTCGATAACAACAACTGGAGAAAAAGATATAATTTTGAAATATATAAGATCTTAAATAGTGATGATATCATTAAATCTATTAAACTAAGTAGAATGAGATGGGCCGGGCATGTAGTGAGAATGAGCCCAGAACGAACAGCATTAAGAGTCAATGCAACCCCCTCCAACAAAAGGCCAAGGGGAAGGCCCAAAAAGAGATGGAAAGACTGTGTAGATGAGGATTTTACCATCCTAAAAGTAAAGAACTGGAAATCAATTGCTGGGAGAAGGGCAGAATAGGAAAAGCTTCTGAGGAACGCCCTGGCTCACAATGAGCTGTCGTGCCAATGCTGCTAATGATAGAAGAAACTAGCTGCCTGCGGCTACCGGATGGTTCGCCTATACAAACTCACCGCTTCAAGGCACCACGATTGTTTTTGCAACCTTCGACAGCATTTCGCAAAATCCTCGGCATTAGTTTTTTTTAAAGAAATAGGAGAGTTCGAATTTTTTTCAAATTTGCCTGATGTGGCCAATAGGTCCGTCCAAACACAGTCATTTCGAAGTTCCGCATAATTGACCACCTGCATACAGCGGCGTAGTTTTGGGGAACAAAACCCCCCTCCGAAATTACCAGATTAATAAAATAACTCCTTCTCAAAAGTTGTAATATTGTCTGACTCAAATGCTGCACTTCAAGCAATTAATGCTCCCACCCTTACGAAAATTTAAGGTTGATTTGAGGTATTAAGGTTGATTTGAGGTATATTTAAGGTTGCTGTAATTAAAGTGTACGAGGTTGTTTTATATATACTTCAGCTTATTTTGAGGTTGTTTAAAATCAACTTCAAATCAACCAGGCTGATGAGGTGATTTTCAAGGTATACCAGGTTGATTTTCTGACACTTGTGACAAAAGAGGTATTTTGGAGGTATAAAATTTTTTACCTTATTTGAACTAAAGAGAGTGAGGTATTTATTGAGGTATATGAAGTCATTTTATTTATACCTAAGCTTATTTTGAGGCTGTTTTAAATTCACTTCAAATCAACCAGACTGATAAGGTGATTTTTAAGGTATACGAGGTTGTTTTTCTTACACTTGTATCAAAAGAGGTATTTTATGAGGTATAAAAAAATCAACCTTATTTCAACTAACGAGAGTGAGGTATTTACGAGGTATAAAAAAATATACCTTATTTCAACTAAAGAGAGTGAAGTATTTATTGAGATGTATGAAGTCATTTTATTTATACCTAAGCTTGTTTTAAGGTTGTTTAAAGTACACTTCATATTAACTAGCTCACTT